GGTGAACTGGAAAATGATCTTGAACTGAACCGCATGCTATTTACAGAACGTATTGTCTTACCAGGATGGCGGGGAAAAAGGGAAAAGGGTGGGTGGGGTGGGGGGAGAGAAGGGTACTGCTTTGAGTCAAGAATCTGTCAGCCCAGTGCAAAGTGTAAAACAGGTGTGTGTGTTTGTTTGTTTTTGTAAGTGTTTTTACGGCGCTCGCAACTACATAAGGTCATATGAGCGCGCGGGACACATTAAACTTTTTCAGTTGGTAGGAAATTTTGAATTTTGTCCGGGTGGCGGAAGAAGCCTACTGTTATCGATTTTAGACCACCAAGGGGTCTTTAATGTGAGCAACTCGCACTCGGGCCCTCCGAGATTTTTCGCCCTTGTCCGAGAAGGCTAGGTGTAGATCTTTCTTACCAGAAGATAAGGGGTGTGGCTGAAAGACAACAGTAAGAAGAAGCCAAGGAGTAGCAGTAGAAAGGCTGCAGAAAGAATCAGGAGCCCAGAGGAGGGGGGCAAAGGAAATGAAGGAGTGGGGGCAGAAAGAGGAGACGAAAGCAGATAACAGCACATTGCTAAAGAGCAGGAAAGGAGGTTGAAGGAGACACATTTAGAGAAGAAAATGTTTCGGTCACTACCCGGATTCGAACCCGTGACCTTTGAATGAGAGGCCAACACCTTAGCCTCTAGACCACGAGAGACATCGAACAAGTGTGTTCCCTTTCTTATTATTCTTTTAAAGATTTTTCAACGTAATAGAATGTGTGTTTTTAAGTCTGCAAAATGTATGGAAACTAGCACAGTATATCTCCCAGGAAGTTGAGATTGTTTCTGAATGGTATCCGGTCTGCTGGGGTAATAGCTTAGATTGAAAGGCGCATAGAGTTTGCTGTAGAGTGGGAATTTGCGTTATCTAAATGCAATTTTTTTTTAACGTTTGGTGTTTACAAATATGTTTTTATCACCTATTATACGAAGTTGATTCCATCCGACTCGCGTAGACCTGAAGGAAATTATAATATCCATTTGTAGGTATAATTTAATTTGTAGTTTGGGATACCGGGCGTTCACATTTAGTACATTGTCTCTGTCTCCTGACATAAGGGGAAAAGAGGGGTAGGTGAATATAGAATAATAAGTTTAAAAGATAATACTCATAACGAGGAGGGGAAAAACTGCTGCTTCAGACAGTCAACAAACTGGTCTTTTTTTCCGACAAAATGATTATCCGTGCAGGATTTAGGAACACCGGTGTGGGCACGTGAGTGTACCATGTGGTGACAAAGTAAAAAAAAACAACACTTTTTAACCTCTTTGCTTCGTTCCACTGGTGTGCTTATCTTTCCTGCTACAAACTTATGTAAAGTTGTAATATTATATATTGTGATATGTTTAAATTTTTCTCTCTCTCTCTCTCTCTCTCTCTCTCTCTCTCTCTCTTTCTCTCTCTCGCACACACACACACACACACACACACACACAAACA